CATTTTATTGAAAAAACACATCCACTAATATGTTTCTTAGAAATTTGAACGCTACTGCGATCGGACGTTGTTGATAGGTCTTAACATCCTATAACTTCCAGGGCACCCAGTTTAAATGGCGCATGTAGTCTCAGCTTGACATCTATTCTGACTAATAGTAATAACAGCAATTATAACAATGGCATGACTTTATCTCCCGCAATTTTCTACGGAACAATAGGAACGCGTACGCCATCACGCGCCGGATAGCGACGTCAATCATACAGTAGTGCTTATTGGTTTAACTGTTTTCAATTACAATCTTAACTTTGCAATCGTCAACAACAAACGCTTTTGGCCTATTGGGCCGCTCCGCAGATAATGAACCCTAACGCGAGCAGATTATAAAACACTTTTCCAAAGCAGCATACCATCATCAAAAAAAAAAAAAAAAAATAAACCCGCTAATATGGTGCTTCGGGCTTCTGAATAAAACATTAACTGGAATTTACGTTGAATTCTAACTCTAATCCTACGATAGACCACTAGATCTTCTTAAATCGAGTTGGCCACGCAACGATTAGCATATAACCGCTCCTTAGTCGATTATGCTTTTGAGCTTCTGACAAGCCACAAACATTTGAGCCAATGCTTTTCTTCAATCCCTCAGATCTCACAAAGGCGGACTCGAAATTCACAAGCTACTTATACTGTATCTCGTGTTATTCGTTCACTATGATCATACGTAATAGGAAATCGAAAAGGAACAGAACGTAATTTACGGCAAATCTTATTCCGCTTCTTCTAAGCACCAGAAGCTGACCTGTTAGCATCCTGGATTAGTACGACGATGCGACGAAACTACAATGGGATTCAATGGGAGCAGCCAATGTCATTGTTGATAGATGGACCGTGCTGTCGTCTGACGGTGCAATTAAACGGGTGGACCGCTGTGATGGGCCCCGGTGACCAGAATTTCCGTCAGTGTATCATCACATCATGAATCCCGCCACAGCATTTAAGACGCCTACGACCTCGCAGAACATCGCTAGAGCATCAACAATGGTGACATGTAGAAGCTAAGAAAGATAAATAGCAATAGATCTGATTCGCCACCCGGTAGTGTTTTGCGTTGCCTCCATAGACACAGTTAACTGTTTGAACAGCAAATGGATCGCAGCAGCAAATCCCGGACGAATTTTACGTGCCCGAGAAGATCCCTAGTTGCTTAGCGCGTGCCGCCATTAGGTCGAGGTCGTCTGTAGAGCTATACCGAAACAGGTGCAGTGAAAACTCGATAACGGCGAGGCGAACTCGGGTGCGTTCAGGTCACTAGTGTTTTGGAAAGGTTGGAAGAGTGAACGAGAAAGAGAAAAATCAAGGGATTTTAGTGGAACTGCTTAGCGTTAGTTGTGCGACAGAAGGTTTTGATGAACCATACTATCGCCTGTCGGTTGGGCCTTAATGGGCAATGAAAAAAACAACCAGCTGTCGTCCTACAGCTAAAACAGGCCAGGGCGAGAGCTGCTACTTCTACTGCAGCTGGATCTACCTTCTAAGTCCGTGTTAAAACTCGCTGTTAGTCTCAATCGTCCGTTAAAGGTGGGTCTGGATGGAACTGGGTCCTAGGTGGGCTGGTCTTAAGGCGAACTTATCTTATATCTTCCTAGAGAGTTAAACGCAGCGAGTGGGTTGGAGGAACGATCCCGATGGCTTTGAGGGATAATTAAATCAATAGGATAGCTGAGTTTATAACGACAAAGGACGTCTAGGGCAGTCCGGGAGGCAGATTCGATGTGGACTCAAATGGGTTAACAAATCGACAGATGAACATTTGATAGTTTCGGATTTTGCGTGAGATGTCTGTGTCGCTAAGTGGAACCCGTGACAATTCGCAGGGAACAGATGTAATATTTTTAATGATAGATACTTGTTATATAGTTCTTACCTACATCTTCGGAAACAAATGGCTCACTCTCAACCGAAGGCGTTTGGTAAAGTCTTAAGATATGAACAGACAATATGAAAAGCGATGAAAACAACCAGCCATCGTTAGAATTAAAATGTTTTATTTTTTGTTTACATATATTTTGTTCGTTTATGTTTTGTTTGTGCCATTGTATAAACGTATTCTAGGTTTAAGAGCGGGTAATTTGGAAACCACGAACCAAGTGAAGCGTAAGCTTCTTTGAGGAACCCCACATAGGTAACCTAATGGGCTAAATGATAGATGGCAGAAGGTAAATCACCAAATGGTTTTTCAACTACACAGCACAACTGATTTTATAGCAGACCCATTACAAAAATGTAAACTTTGCCAAAAGCTAAACAAGCACATTAGGACTCTCTTACTGTTGCAGTTGGACGATCAATACTGTCACACACGTCACGATATTGCCCAGCATATCTTGCGCTCGTATCCCCACTAAAATAATATGAACCACAAACCCCTCCATTGCCGATGAATATACGAGGGACAAATTCGATTTTCCTTGGTACCATCTTTGTTTACGCACTTCGCTCGCAGTGTAAAAACAGGTTGCCTTTATTATTTGGATTAAATCTCTATACGTGACTTGTTATGTCGTCATGACCTCATTTATTTGGTACTACCCGGCTTGTAGAATTAAATTCGTTTCTAATCCGTGTTTGTCTCAAAATATCAGTTTTAATTATTAAGAGCTGAATTACATGTTTTCGGCTTGTCGAGAGCTTATACACATAAACATACATAGCTGCCATCGTAATGATATATTCCCTATCGTTTACATGTCACTCCCATAGCGCTGCGTAGCACACCACGCATTGTAATGGCTTTACCTACGGAACGAAATATCCTACTGGATACTATAGGGTGCATCTTGATATCCACCCATACAACCCTGGGGATCCTTCGTACGCGGGAGTTTTACTAATGATAACTCGTACGCCGCACAGTGTGGTTGAACAATCCGCCCGAGGCTCGCCGGACTAATTCGTGCCAAAACAATTGTAAACTTATAGGTTTTCCAGCCATACAAAAGGGCGGTGAGCAATCCTAATTTTAATAAACGCCATGTAGGTATGTCTCGCACGCGTTCGGATACAAGGAGAAATCGATAGGCCTACTCACAGTGTAACAGCTGTGAAGAGGAAGGCCAAATTCGAAATACTACGGCTCTTTGTGTGAACTTTAAATTATCACCGTGTGCTTCTGTTGCGTAGCGTTTGAAATTTTACAACTTCAATGAATCGCTTGGGCTGTCTATACGTTTCTCGAGTCGCTATTTCTAAATAAACGAACCAAAAAGTACACGAAGATAAAGGCCAAGTCATCATTATGTTAGCACTGCAGTCAGCAATAACACGGTGCTGCCCAATGTATTTCTCCACGTCAACAATATATAGCCAACACCCTGCCAAGGGCATGACCCTTGGCACAGAATGTATGAATACTTCGTTGTTTCCCTCCGCGTATAACTATGGTCTTCATTGATAAAGCTAATCACATTGTAAAGGAAGTGCAATGGGCGTCACACCCCGGGGCCTCCTTCCCAACCTCCTCTGTTAGTTCCAACAGGTGGTTGAATTGTTCAGTAGGACTCTCACCAAATCGTTGAAATGGTACTCTTCAAAGGGGAATAGTTCCACCTAAATTCGACCTCGTACGTTTAACCATGTATTCATGAGATTGGTCATTCTATTGTAGATGTATCTTGAGTGCGCGTGGGTGAATTATGACGTCCTCAAAGTGTCATTTTTCTCTTTGTCCAATAATCTGACACGCGCTGTTTTGGCCGGTTGGGCAATTTGATGGCCTCGTAATCATCAACTCATCGACCATCGAGAGCTCCATGTGCATAGTCCACGGACGTTTCGTTCGTCCTCAGACGGATACGTACTTGATTAAACCGCACGTTTCCCCTCAAATTGACGGTATAACAGCTGAAACGATCGCTGAACTAAAACGTTAATCAGTCGTAGAAGAAATATTGCGCAAGTTAAGGATAATTAGTTAAACTTGACTAGTTAAACTTGTTACAATTGTAGCAGATGAAGTTACTTGTTAGAACGTACGCGAATCGAACGAATTATTCATTTAATGTCTACTCAGGCCAGGGCCAGGACAAGATCCCTAAGTAACTGTTTAGCGTAGAAATAGTTTGAAAAATTATGAAAAAAGATGTGTAATCATTTACCTCCCATTTAAGTTCGTTTTCAGACTTTGTTTGACTTTTCATTATAATCGTCTAAAGCGAGTCTTTTAGCAAGGAGCGTCGGTGCTATTGATTAATAGGAACTCGCTGTTGGAAAAGTACATTACGAACAGTACCTTTAAAATAATACGGGTTAATTAAAACAGTACCTAACTTCCTAGGAGAGGAACGAATAGGTCAAACGAAACCTAACAGGAGCATTTGCGGGTTTCAAGGCTTTTATAAAAGTAACTTATTCAGAAGAGCTCAGTAGCAAGATCTGCATGTGTACAATCAGCGGGGAACTTATTTTCTCCTAAAAATGTGTTGTTCCATTTGTCTGCTGTTATCAATCGACACAAAATCATTGATTGACTCGTGTGCATAACAATTAGATTTATTAGGGAACGAACAAAAAGTCTTCATCTGGAAAGGAAAGCTTGAAAAAAGTGATGATAAAGCTAGAAAGATGCGAGGAATGCCCTTTCTGTGGACTCGAAGATCTAGCACAGGGCCGAATCGAGCCGTAAATACTTAATTGACGTGAATGATAGAATTGGCCATACGGGAGTCAAACGATGATGAATATGCTTTTTCATGTAATAGAAAATGTACATTTGCTCGATCAATTTTTAGATTATTAGACATATTAGATATCTACAAACAAACCGATGCAGTCTGAGGCTTTAGATGGACTGGGCAATACGGTAGGAGTGCCTTAATGTGTGTCCAGTGACCATCTATAATTAAGGACTAATAACTTTCCTAAAGGGCTACGTGGCTCTAGAATTACCCAACATAGCCAAATAGTCCCCAAAATTGTGACTTTAATTAAGAAGTACTTACCGAATAGGAGTAGGAAAGTTACCCTGAGGTCCCAAAGGGGCCCGAATGTTGTAATCTTCGCAGACATCGTACCATTAAGCAAGAGGAACAAGTCCTTGAAATTTTTACTCTCACTTAAAGGCTGGGTTATGTGTAAACTTCACTATTATGATCGGCACTTGTTGTTCTGTATTTGCTGTCGCTATTTCTCGGTCTGAGGATATGGTCGCACAGAAAAGTCGTTCCGATTTCACGTCATCCAAATTGAGCTGCTGCCGACATGGCGGCACGACAACGCTTGAACTTATGATTAACCTGCAGAACTTATTAACTGAATTGATCCTGAGTAATGAGTGTGTTCCTTCAAGAACCTGAGAGTTTATGAGGCCATTGACTATTACGTTGTTTTCTAATATGCCTAATCACATGGGGGTCAGCATTTCTGCCCTTGGCTAACTGTGCCAACTAACTTTATGCCGATTCAGCGTATCGGCTAGGTGCGCACCGAACATTTCCAATAACAGACTGCTGGCCGAGTAACAAAAAAAACTGCAACTCTGTTGTATACGAAAACGGTAACCGTTATAGTTTTTAAACAAGCCGTTCGGTATAGGTTTTTTACGCTTCCTGGGGCGAACCAGAAACTCCAGAAGGTTGTTCGTTCAAGCTGACTCGCTTGATGGCCAATGGTGGTAGTTTGCCAAGAGGTTTGTTGGGTCACCAATTCCTCTGTGCGTGCCCCATCTCTCTCAGCACTCACTCAGTGTATGGCCTCTGACGGGGGGTATTCCGTGGTTGATATGAGTGGAAGCAGCAGTGGCTCGTTGCTGCCGCCGAAAAGGTGGTGCGCAATGGCTCTCGGCATGGCGGATGCCCGCCAGGGGAAGGGTCGACGAGGGAGAGAACTCAACTTGCCCCGAATAGGCGAGGGAATGGCAACAGCAGCAGGCTTCAAGCTTACTGAGCAGGCCGCTTTACCGACCTCATACTCTGAGTGAACATAACCTTTCGCTATCCCTTCTACAGCCCCTGATTCCTTCGCTGCGTACTGTTACTACTAGCAGCAGTAGCCAACACTCGTTACGTATATTATAGTTCTTTCACCGCATACAGCACATCTCCCGAAAGTGCCCCCTACCCAAAAGTCTCCCACCAGGCACATATACAGGAAACCTTTACAACAGTAAGTAAGTGAGCGCCCCCCCCCCCCTCCCCCCTGTTCATCTGACGAGTACGAAGAGCTAAGTGTGCGACACGCAAAAGACCCCGGCGTCTTCTCCATGCAGTAGCAACTCACCGAGGCAAACAAAGCCCAAAAGACATCGAGTCATCCACGGCTACTACGGGCTCAAATGATGGCCCACGGGTCCCTTTTGCTGTCCATTCTTTTGACCTAGGCGCCCAATTGCATCTACCAGTCAGTTGACCCAACTAAACATCGAAGTTTCCCGGATTGGCCCCACTACCACTCCCGCTTCGCACAGAAATTCCCTTCATTCCCCCGTTCTCTCAAACCATCTTAACTAACCATCTGCTTTTTTTTGGCCGATTGTCCTCCCCAGCGGCTAGGTCTGGCCAAGACAGAATGATAGAAATGGAAAAATCGTTTCTTGCTCGACGCGCGTCTTCACTATGGAGGGCGTAGTAGTCAAAGCAAACCAGCTGCGTCCGGGTAGCCATTTCCGATAGGGGTTCGGCGATGTTGAATAGGGATCAAGCAGCAATGAACACGCCGGGCTCACCGGGTAAGCTGGCTAACTAAAGACGGGGGCCGCATGCCAAAACAAATGCGAACGCGGGAAACCATGAAGAGCACACTGAAGTAAGTCTATGTGATGGAGGCAAAAGTGAGATGATACATCAGCCTCAAGTGGCAGCAATTATTTGATGCAGCTAAGCAGACAATGCATATACAGTTGAACAATTATATTTTAATCTCTCTTTCACCTGGTCTTGGACCGTCGGGGTGGCTGTAAACGTTTAGATGTCAAAAGCGGGCTGGACTAATTAAAGGTGTTGCTTATTGGAGCGGTCAGAAAGGACAATGATCGAAATGTGATTAATTTGTCCACGTAGATACAGGCTGTGCGGTGTTTATGAAGGGATCGCGCAGTGATATTGTCCAAATTAATCCGACAATGAAAATGCCCTTACGAAACGAGCCTCGATTAAAAATGGCCTAAAGAAATGACTGATTGCAATCACGAGGCACGGTGAGCCAATCAAGCCAAGAAAATACCCAAAATATAAATCCGCAATATTCATATGTAGGACATCACTTGCTAGCTGATGAAATCAGGCTCACTTTAGGCCTTATAATATGATCTACACTGTGGATGAGAATCGTGGAGCAGAAGAGGAGCACCGCTAGTAGCAACAAAGTTTTACCTCGGTAATGTATTAACCATTGTAATACTTGAAAAACATATATTGTCTATTCTAAAATCATATCACCACTAGCATAAGAAAATGCAGATATCGGCATCATGCCGCGAAGTCAACCAGAAATCAAATAAATAAGGTAATTTAGAGTGTTGTGTTTTGCTGTGATTGCCGGTAGGTTTCAACTGGCCTGTAACTGTTTCGAAATAAGGCCTACAACACAAAAAGCTATGGTATAGCATCGAACCACAGCTCATGCTAAACCGGTAAATTAAGACTATTTTGAGAATCGGCGGTGCATAATAATTAGTATCCACATGTATGTATATATATACAATTTTTGTTTCTAAGATATACTGCGTACATATATATGTATATATCTTAAACAGTATGTTGCCCTTTTGTCTATTATTATTGTAATTACGTTATTATAATATTAGTTAAATAAAGTAAAGCATTTAATAACATTATGAATCAATTTTTTCTGAGATATTGATGAGACGCTTTGTTACCCTATTACATTTATGCTGTACATGAAGCGTACGGAAGTGATCAAATAAGGAGGTACTTTTGTTTCGTTTTTGTTAAACAACTTCAAAGTATATGTGTATACATATATTTTGAAGTTGTTTAACCCCCGAGGGAAAGCTGTCAACAATTCAATGAAGGCATACGTTTTAGCTTGAGACCGGCAAAATATGTTAGTTTAACAGCCACGCCCTGATACGTATAACGTATGGGATATTTATGCATCCCATAGAACTGATGTACGTTTCATCGATCCAAGCATGAGTTTTCCTAACTTAATTTACATTAATCTTTTGATTAGTACAGATCGAAGTGCTTGTTTGATTTTTGTTTTCCCGACCCAATAACTTACTTTTATCTTACATCTCCATGGTCGAAGTTTGAGATACTATAACCATCGAAACGTTGCAATCAAGCACGATCGGTCTCCTTTAAAGCACTCTTGACAAACTCATTTTCAGATGTTTTGTAATAAGCGATAAGTTCTGAATTTGTCACTGGCCTTGCCTGTATCAACTTCTATTCAGTAATTAGCTCTGACCCGTAGAGGTGAAAAATACGTATAGGATACATTATAGTAACTTTCGCGTGGCTTAAATCTGGGCCTTATCGACTCTATAGCCAGAAAATAAGTGGTTATGATAATGATAGCTAGTTTAATTATTCGCTAGATAATATCCCAGTAGTCAAATGCTTTATGTAACAATCGTCGTATTCTATAGTGCTTTATGTAGCAAAGCGTCGAACGCTGTAGTCTCCTGCATAACCAGTCAACGATAACATCAGTGAGCTGGAAAATCGGCGGCCCGATATGCATGGCAACGTACCCGATTTTAGTCAATAGCCAAAATAGAACTGATAGAATAGTTCGAGTGACTTGTTGTTTATAGAGGATTCACCCTTCCTGCTTTCAACTAACGAGTAGCCCTATCCATCTCCCCTTTGTTGGTGTTTATGGATATTCTAATTATTATTGAAATTATGAACTAAGCGTCGCTTCATATTCTTCCGTTTCGGATAAGGTTTTTATACATGGATGCATTTCAATACTGGCTCGAAGTTCAGTCTTTACTAGCACCACATTTTCCGGTTCAATATGTTTAATGTGTCATTTTAGACGCAACACCACGTAAAAGTAGGTGACTCGCTTAAAAACGAGACGTCCTCTGTTACTACTTGTGCCTCAAAACCTAACGTAATTTATTTATGACGTTGGTACAGCACGTTAGAAGGTCGAGTTATCGCATCGCTATCTATGAGTGTCCAAGAAAAGTATGTCTTGATGACTAGTGAAGTTTTAGGGGCTTGATGGGGTGTATATGATGACGAATAAAGATAATTAGAATAATAGCAATGTCAGTGTAAATAATAACCATCGCACTATTAGGGGAAGAACACAACAAATTATTTAAATTGGACATACGGTTTAAGGTGTGGTGGAGGGAGGAGCTAAAATGAAGAATCAGGGGAGAAACTGTCTAAAGGACCCATGAAAGAGATGGTCAATAACCAAATTTTTAAATAAGCGAAATGACGTACTATTTTTTTTTAAATCGGGCAGAAAACTGTTGAACTGCAGAAAACTGGCAGAGCTGGCAAACGGGGCTTTGGCGTAGCACTGAGTACTGGAGATCAGGTGCGAGAAGAGTAAGCGACCTGCAAGAACTTAGGGGGTTGTCCGACTAACTATACTGAGTATGCTGGTGCAGAAGAGGCCTCAGGTGGTCTGACAGGTAAGCTGAGAGGCGGAGGTAAAGTTTAAAGAGTTGAGAAATAATGGGAACAGTATGAAGTGAATGGTAAGAGCGGCAGAAAAGGTACGGAGAGTTCCGGAGTTGGCACGTAGGGCGTCGTTTTGTAGAACTGGGACTTGTTGTTTTAGTTCGTAGCTATGGCCTGCCCCCCACAGGTCAAGACAGTAGGCAACGTGAAAGACAAATAGGAATTTGTAACTTAAATTTTCTTTTTGGAAATAGCACAAAAGACCTGGGGTAAAAGAAAGTGCAGATTATCTGGAGACATTTGGGTAGAAAACGATTAATACGGTTGCCAAGAGAAGTTACAGTGTGAGGAGGAATCAGGGAGGGGAACGGGATTACTAAGCTGAAGTGGGCGGTTATTATCGGTTAGTGCAGCTAGGATAGAAAAGCGGGAATTGAATTTACGTTCCTCTTCAGACACTTCATACCTTTTTCAGTGCATAGACTTAAATGACGAAGGCGGGGAAAAATGGTCGAGTGTTATACTAAATATCTTGGCTGCATTTCTCAGAATAAAAGCATCCATAACCATCATTTAACTAAATGCACCATGAAATGAATATGAAAACAAATATATTTGGAAATAAGCGTACGTTCCTTTTCAAAGTATTAATCTTGGTGGCACTGTTTCTTCGACCTAGCTGGTAAATCAAAAGCAGGTTGAAGACAGAACAAATTGGAGCAAGTCTTACATAATAAATTTCAAGGAACGACATTTCAACTGTGGGAAAAAGCTGTTAGGTGAACTCAATGGCGCTGCCTCCTTTTAGAATACATTATATGTGCCAATGATACTCTTTTTTAGATAAACTATTAATTTCTATTTTTCCGGGCAAGCCGGACTAATTGTCGCTCTGCAGCAGAAAAAAACGTTCCTTTTTTAAAAACTCGCCTAACTACTTAGTGGGTTTTGGTCGTACGATAACTGAGTCATCACTTGAAGCCGCCATGTTCTACTGCTGATTGCTTTAATACTTTTATGCTCGTAACATCGCCTGAAATAGTGAACAAACTATTTTATGGTTTTTTAGTTTTATTATCGTTTTATTACAAAAAAAAGAAAGCGTATATTTTTTACTGCAACTTTTATATCATATTCTGTCTATATAAGAAAAAGGTAATAATTAAGGAGCTACTGAAGAGAGCTCTTGCCAACTATCGGTAAATATCAGTGCGTATCATTAGGGTCATTTGTAACTTATTTATTCATTTTAGTTTGCTATAAATTGAACCGACGCCGACTTAATCCCCATACTAGAATATTCTTAAGCTTTCTTTTTACACTATGTGTTACACTAATTCGAGGCTCATACTATTGGCTGTGTCAAGGTAATCGACAAGAATCCGGGATCGATGTTTCCACAACTTAAAAAGAGCAGAAAACAGTCAATAGGCAGAAAATTCGTCTGTACTAAATGAACTAGAACGTTAGAAACATTAGAAAAACGCTCGCAGCAGGCCAGAAAACTTCAAGCTGCAAGACCTATCGTCGACATTCAAGCCAAACAGGTACGATTTATCTGATTTTGATCATTTGACCAAATGCCATGCCAATTTTTCAGGAATCCTCCAATTGACTAAGTCGATAAGAGGAGACAATTCCATGATATGGGTAGATAGTTTCTGTCTCGTGGTATACCTATCTCCTGTTAAATAGTCGTAAGAGACATACAATTCGAAACAAACCTCGATGCCGTTCAACTTCGAAGCAGCTTAGTCCACAGTAAAAAAATTCCGATCTTAAAACCTAACTGCACGAATGTCTAAAACACTGCTCAACAGTTTGGGGAATCTTGGGGTTTGATCTTCGTTCGCCGTCCGCTCCGTTCTCGGTTAGCAATTGGGGTGTTGCATCGACAATTGTTCTACGTTCAATACAGACATTCTACAATGTAAACGCATTCCCCTTCACATATTGGCCCATACATGATAGAGATATATAGCGGGCAGGACCTATTTCCATACAAGCTTCTATGACCGTGCCATTGTCTTGTACTTATAACATGTGTGCATGAAAAGCATATGTATGCTTTTGATGCATACATGTTATATATGTATGTGTGAGTGAATGTAATTAGTTCATTCTCTCATATCCGGGCTGTTTCTAAGGCAATGAGATGTAGCAGCGACACGATGAGCTTGATGTGCTCTTATCGACATAGATTTATTGAATGTTTTGCAAAGGCAGCGTCCTAAAATGAGTTGGAATCAAATGGCTTCATTCTTTAGTTACGGTAAAAATAATGAAAACCCTAAGAGGAAACAAGCAAGATCAAGCGCGGGTGAGTTCCAAATATAAATCTGTGCAAAGTGCGAAGGAAGTGTTTATTTATAATGTTTATTACCCTGACGTACAAGGCCAATTTTTCAGCTACGTTCTCCTGTGGATACTTATTCAATAATAATAGCCGTGTAAGGTAAGGCCAGATGTTGTGCATGCAAGGTTTATCCACTCAGTGCACGGAACCGGCCTCCTGTATAAAACGAATAGCACAACAATTGAAAAACAATTGAAGAGGTCGGTAATAGATCAAGGGACTGTGGTAGAGATAAAGCGTACACGGATGATTACAGATCTCGATATCGGCAACCAGCGCCTTTGAAGGTGGCTTAATGCAGTCACACGCAACGTCACATCCGCGCATAGGCTCCGCTGCATTCTACCGGTGTTCATCCATGGCTTCTCGTGCCCCCCCCCCCCCCCCCCGATACTTCTCATTTTTTCTAGCCGTAATTTTTGTTCTGTTAGAAGCACCGTCAACTCCTTTTTGTTGCGAACGTAGCCGGGACCGCACATGCGACAGTGACGGCGGAGCGCTCGTAACTATCACTGGGGGGCGATTACAATCATGTTTGAAATTATCACTCAGTGGCTGGAACAGGCCAGAATAAACCGCAAAGAGATCTCGCACTGGCAGACGTGGTATAACGTGTGGCAGGATTACGCTAACGGAAAGATGGCAGCACGTGCTTTGAGTAAGCGCATGAAATAATTAGAAGGAATACACTTTGCGAAGAAAGCACCAAACATATATTTCTTAGTTAAGTCCTTCTTTATGCGTTGGTTTAAGGTCGTTGCGTTTACTAAAAATAACGTTACAGTTGTCTCTCTGTTACTCTCTACGCATGAATTATAATTAACTTCCTTTATTCATACAGATTGACAACGCAACGCGTGTAAATTCATTGTATAAAATTGTTCCTCGTAACTTTTGCGTGTAACCTTTTTATCGAACCAGATTGTACTGCTACCATCCACCAGATTTATCCATCAGATGAAGCTATGCTTCGCGAGGAATTTTCGTCTTCATACAGCCACGTACTGTTTTCGTGTGACATGTCGACGTCGTCTGACAACCGCTAAGCTTGGTGTAGCCATGGAATAACCGCGTGTTTTTAGGCTTCGTTCCACAGGTAGCGCTTACATTTATTAATGGTATACGTTTCGTATCCCAATTAAACGAAAGAAAATACAGAGCAATACTAATAGCATGTAGAATCTAAAGAGAAACGAACAAAGACTAGTGGCTAATTAATAACGGAAAAAAATAGAGGGGCTAAAGTGTAAAAATGTACTCAGTTAAATAGCGACGAATCAGAAGAAAAGTAGTTGAAAAACCGCTAATTCAAAATGAAGGAGACAGAGAGGTCCGATATTCCATTTACTACAAGAGCCACTCTTGGAACAATATAGGGCTTGATATCTGATATAGAAGTTCAAAGATAACTTAAAACAGCTAACTTGAGGTTCTTCAGGGGTCGTCGACCGTACACTACAAATGATACAAGTTACAGGGAGCTGCTCGATTGCTAGAGCCCTTTCTAAACGCGCCAAATTTAAAATTGCGCATAGACTGCTTTGCAATATACAGTCGTCACAGTTGGCCAAGTTTTGCGTTTTTCTTTTTTATTACTTTCAACTATAATTAACAGGACATGCTGTGCGCGAAAGATGGCATACACGTATTCAAAGCCATAGTGTAAAATTATATATAGACAAAAAAGGCAGTCGTCACGAATCGTAGAAACCGACGTCGTGACTTTCAGCCTACCCACCGCCAACCAACCAACCTCCGCTTCGCCCCAGTGGCAGCCGCTGAGCTCAGACACTTAAATGTGTCATTGTATAGCGAATTGCTAATAGTCTTATCTCCGATTCGTATCAATCGGCCTCAAGTAGTACATTAACATGGAGTCCAGACATTCAAAAATGAGCGCGCTGGGTAGCTTGGCTAGCAGACAAAATTATTAACAATCCTTTACACATCGTTAATAATGGAGTAACCCTAATACCATTTCGAAAGTAGAACTGCTGTCTAGCGTGCTGAACTCGTATCGATAAGTTTCATCCGCCAGCAAGCATATCAATGCAGGTAACGAAGTGAACTTTGCTTTTCATGGGTGGTGGCACAACGAGGTAAAGTAACAAGAGTCGCCTTTTTACATGCTTTACTTATGTCCAGCTTTTGCAGCTCAATATTACAGTGTGTATCTGTGGTAACTAGTTTTGATCATCTAATTAAACTGTTGCTCAAACTAACATTCTAAAATTTCGACGAAATCGTTCAAGTTACTGGGTTTAAGCGCCAGCTTTTCATGGGTGCGAGGGCGCTGACAACTTAACCGTGTAATCGTACTCTACAACTATTGAATATCTCTGTCAAAAATAGAAATCTATGCTTGTGCCCGAATACCGCCACTGCTGCGTGCAAGAACGAGATTCATCAAAGTGGAGCTGTATTTCAAAATTGAGTTAACGCAACACCTCTAGTAGTTTTCGGCCATATAGTTGGTAACAGGTACGGAGGAACGTCAAGATATTGCACTGGAAAAGTAATCGACCAGACCGTCAACTCTCGTTAGATCTTCTCTTTTTTTTTAAAATCAATTGTCACTACAACGGTGTTTATTCTACAGGAAGATAGCAGACGCTCTGCGAACTTTGCTCGCCTCTTGATACATCCCTTTGTAAATGGATAACAGAGTATTTTTGAGACGATCTTCTCAGCAGCAGCAAAAAGTGAGCTCTCCAGAAGATTCCTAGTACAACTAAGTGCTTTCTACTAAAAAGGAGTTTGTCTAAAATTGGCAATGTTTGTCATGGTATCTACAGTTTCTTTTGCAAATGTTAAAAACGCAAAAGTATGCCCTATTGGAAGTCACCTACCAAATCGTTATTTGTATACGTTTATCCTTAGATTTCCAGGATAAATAGCGATATAAATAGCGACTAAAGCAAAGATTAGGAAAAATTCAGTTGATCGTCAGGAGCTAAATCGCGAATTTACTCAGTGGTTTAGAAGCAGCGTATAATAAACGAGGGTAACATCAGAGGTAGTGAAAGGAAAATGTTGTACATCGTTTAATAAATTTTAGTAACTTCAATAACTTTTTGAAAAAGGCCGCTTAAGAATAAAATTATAGCTGTATAGATATGATGAAATTACTATCTCGGACGAATCCTGTTTCCGTCACCCTCGTAGGTGTTCTCGACTCTTCGAGACCTTTCTTAGGGGTGCTGTGGCGCTGTTCGTCTAGCATCCGGTGCTAAGCTGAGCTCCGTAAACCCCACCCATATTGTTCGTTCGTTAACCAGTGAGCGAAAACGTAGACGGTTAAACTTAAGTTATTAAGTTTATTGCACAGATGGTCTGTTTTAACCTAACCTGAATTTGGCTGCTAGCAAAACATCCTGCTTGACTACACATAGTTTCAATCGGGAAAACGCTATTTGTAGTTCTAATTAGACACAAAGAACAACCGAACATTAGTTTCACTCACTGAACTTGATCATTTTTGTGATGAATGTTCGACATTAATATAATATCAGAATAAGAGCGGAACAAAGTAGGTAAAAGTGATCGTGCAAGAGGATCTTAACGATGGAAGTAACGACACTTGAAACATTTGTTTCCATAAATGGCTAAGCTTGTCGCGTTGACCTCGGAAACGCTAAAGGTTGGCTTTGTCACAAGACCGAGAAGTTCGCGTACCTTTATTCAAATCAAGTCCTGGTTAAAACTTAGTTGGCGCTTAGGTCGGTCTATAGTTTTAGAACTGATATAATGGATGGTTATATATCTGTCACTGTTTCTCCACGCGGTCGAATCTAAATGCAACCCTTTCTGAATTTTGCCTCTTGAAATCGATCGTCAACCGATGATAAACGAGGATGCCTTCGACGTAGTGGCTATTTGCGATAATTAAGATCGAAGTTGCGAATATCAAAGCGACGCTTATCGTTCGCAAAACACTCGAAGCATTAATCCAGAACATTCAAATTTGCCGCCGCGACGAATCTCAGTGGTGCAGTATGAGCTGCAATAATTTATCAGAAATGAGTCTCATTCCGTAGGTTCTTAGACGTGGAACCGGTCCTTTCGCGCCTTTGCTCCTCGCCGAGATCATATCCACAGTGGCTAGCGCGCCTTCTTTTATGGATATTTCCTCATTTCCTAGGATAAGCCATCACGTCAGCAGACGCGGCTCTCCACGTTTCTTCTTGGAGACCATCCGTTCCCTTCATACACATGTCCACTACTCCATTTAGTCTCTCCAATTGATTAATGGCTCCAAATACGTGAAACCGGAGTTTGTTGGCCGACTAGAATAAACTAATTGTACTCCTGTCGAGAAACTCGGAAAATAATGTCGATGATTACGTTGAAGTGGACAGGTGGCCGTCAGATCTACGTAGGCATTGCATGCGGACACCGAAAGTACTGTCGGAATCGGCCGAACGGAAAAACAACGCAGTCTATATGTTTCCTTGAGCTCCACTTGACCACACGAACTCTAGATAATTATCCTTTTTTTGTGTTACAGTGCGTTATTCCAACACAGAAAGTGAGATTAAACGTAAAAACAGACGGCAGTTTATCGAAAATTGTTCACTTTGTTGGAACGGATATAGTACTGCACTTATGCACTAAAGTGTTTAAAGTATTACAACCGGTAGCAAACTGGATGTTATCTTGGCTGTACCTCTCCCTGAGTTTATTCCGACGATGCAAAGAACACATGAGCTTGATAGGTAGACGCTCAGGTCCCGCATCCTAACAGATACAACACTGTTTCTATTGGGGCCACAGAGTGACAGGAACGTACACGGGCATGCGTCGCAGAGGCGCGCGGGGGTCGTTCAGGAACGTTCAAATTCAGTTCACGGCCGCGAGAACCTTAACGACAGACTGTTATCATGTAGTCGTAGCTAACATTATTTGGAAAAACATCTGCAGCTGGGCGTGACTTAGATCAAGCGATAACCATTGTTTTTTTTGACCTTCTAGATACTGTGACGCATAGTTAAAATTCAACAATTACCAGATTGTTGGCTAGCGTTCTGTTCATGAACTGCACCAGCTCACTTCTCCGTAGAGCTGTGCTATTTTTATTTAGTTTTCTTAAAGATTTCGCCGAGCACCAGCTGCGGTTGAAGATTCAGTGATAGCGATCCCAAAGCTGAGACGCAGGTCTACCGTAACGATTCGAACATCGCCGAGCAAATAGGGACACGGAGAAGTAAACGCTGTCTCAATTACCGTAGCCGCCGGATTTCTGGTCCTACAGAAATAAGTTGAGAATAAAATCAAATAGAAATAATGGCTTTTGTTTGCAACAAGGTCCAAAAACATTTTCCGTAAACGAAGCGAAAGTACAAAGTGAAATTGTCCGCTTTTTACTATACGGTAGAATGCGTCCGTCTTTCTAATAGAGTTTTCTTTTTTTGAAAGAGACCTTTTTGTAGCGGTCAATATATACATTTCAGTTAAGTAAATCGGGCTTTAAACCTAAGCAGTCGCTAAACTAACATAGAACTTTCATCAGTATCTTCTAATTGCGTCAGGAGAGCTAAATTCACGCTTTGGGGTAAGTCTGACGTGTCTGTACTCGTTATATATATAGTAGTATTCTGACTCCAAAAAAGCCCCTTTCCCAGTAGGAAGCTGGGAAATTAATCCACGAGTGCTTTAGAAATGTCATAATCTATAATTTTCGACAAAGACAAATATTTTTCCAGACTTCTGCATCTTTCTAAATACAACGGAGTGGAGTTATATTTGAATTATCGCTCATTTTTGCGGTCATACCCTTGATGGCCTACTCGAGAATTTAGCCCATGGTGGTTAAGGGCATTGAGTGATAGGTCACGAAAACACCAACGTACGCTGTGTTTCATTTATCGCTGATGTTTTCTTGCTCATTCATTCAACGACATATTTCAGTTGTTACCTATATATTATCAGATATTTCTCGGCAACTGGTTAGCCATTTGTACGGCCCGGCTGGAGTGAAAATACGAAATTCGTGTAATTTCAACACAACGCGTATACGTTTCTAGCTTATATTTGAAGTATGCGATCATGTATAGAATTCAATTGGCCCATATATTCGATTGTTGGAGAGCATTACATCTGTGTACGCATATCTGATAAGTGGGAGCAGTTTGTATCAACTTAAAGTTGTGTGTTATACTTAATGATGTCGGTGCGTTTCAGTCAAGATTACTTGCGTTGAACATATACGAAAAGTGATTATCTACTTATTCAAGCATATGAGGTAGGGAACAAGCGGGTCGATCGGGCGGAAGACCCGATGGTCAGTTTGAAACGTTTAGAGACACTCTATGCTTGCCAGCTATTCGTTTTGTAGCGTAGAAAATCGTTACCTCTCGGCATGCACTGCTTGTCAAAAAGAAACAGGAGGGACCCGTGTCTGGTTTGGTTTGTCAGTGTTGAAATTGCTAGAATCTCAGTCAGTCAAAATTTACGACTAGACTAGGCGTGGAAAAAACAAAAATTAATACACAATACTAGAGTGTATGAAAAGGAGTATAGAATTTTTTTCATTACCTGCATCGATTGGCATGTGATAGGCCAGAGACTTTATCGTTCCTGGTCCCCGACGCTGTCACTTAATGCGGGAAACTATACAGTACATTGGTAATGTTTATTTTAACAATGTATGCAGTAGGACGTCGGTTTGTTGGGCGCCATGAAGAATTCCTATTAAAAAGAGCATGTTTTATTCCATTTTCAACACATGCCCTCTTTCCATCTGTGTTAAAATATACATTATCAGCTTAATTTCGATTCGTTCTATATATGTCCAAAGTTAAAGGGCCATCTCAGTTTGCGTAATCGTGTTGATAACGCGAAGATAACGAGTTCGGTGTAATGCTTTTCATGAATACGGATGAGCCGGCCGACATTATAAATTTAGAACGCACTCGGTATTGAATATCTTACGAATGGTCAGCCTTCCGTTATAGTTCGTTACCGTATTCTACAAGTGCGTTCAACAGGAACTATCTTGGCTAAAGGCAGCTAGACTGAACCTGCATCACTGGACATGCTGGTTGAATATAGGCGAAAAAACCTTTTTTTTTTTTTTTTTTTTCCTTACCCTCAAAGTGTCCTCACCCTTTTTTTCCGTAATACTTACGTATATATCTGCTGTCTTATCCCTTATCGTCCTGGTTAGCTCAAGAGCGTTAAGGTTAATTATTGCCTCATATATGATATATAGGATATTGGTTTACAATCAGATCTAGATATCTACGGATATGAGACTCAAATTAGATTATAACGCGTTCGGGGTCTGCCCGTAGTTATGTCGAGATATCCTCAGTGACGAAGCAGGGCGTAGTCCATTATAGAGAAATGCTGCCGGACTCAGAAATAACGAATGTTCAAATAACCTTCAGTCTATCCTAAAGATTCTAGGCCCTTAGCGCGTACGTAAGTCACGCACTTTCTCCAGCTTGGGCAATATATAGCTCTTACATACTTCGCAACGTCAAACGACGATACGCGAATCCAGAGTTCTAAAGGCGTTTTAATTTTAACTGATTCATTGTTGAATCATTTCTTTGCAATACAGTGAATCATCTATCTATCTTAGTGTAGATGCACCTAATTTTATCTAACTTCCCCCTGAACTGGACCGATCCAGAGGTGGATTTCTGTTCTTTTTAGGGACGTCGCCAAGGAAAGACGACTTTAAGGACATAATTTAAAGGAGGAAAAAACAGATATTATTAGGTGTGCTTGGTGATGCAAGGCTGTACATACAACAAAGCAAAGTTTTAGTTAGAGACCTTCGATGCGCGTCTGCCTGTTATTGATTCGTCGAAAAGCTTTGTCGTCGATATTTCCCATATCAGTCTAGTAGATGGCACGATTCGACGAAAACACTGTTTTTGTGAATCACTGCGGCTGTAGTTTGCTATTGTTTTGCACTAGTCTTTTTTTTGTACCAAAGGCGTAGTGTTTTAACTAAAAAATATCCTCTATTTGAGGGCGTTACTATAAATTTAGCTGGTTTTAATGGCGACCATGATTGGCTGGTCTTGGCATATCTCGCTTTTCTAGATATTGAAATGAGAAAGAACCTAACCCTTTTGGACCGGAAGCCTTACGATCGTCTAGCTTTGCTGTTTTTTTAATTAACTTTTGAGGGCGTAGGTTGAAAATTTCTGCAAGGCATTCTGTTGGAATACCGGGGCAAACTGACAATGTAAGCACTCCAAACAGTACGAGGGATCCAGAAAATGTGTATCACTCAAAATCGGCAAAAAGCTCACTCGGATTTTTTTGCACGGCAAACCTTCGTACACGAGTTCTAACGAAAGTGTATTGAAAGTTTTAACCATTTTCGGAATAGAAAAATTGAAGTTTGTGGTCCGCCTGCGCAAGCTTCGCATATAAACAGTTAGTATCGATCAGAAATCTCCATTTTTTAAGATTCTTTTATTAAAGAAATTAGGATAGCTCATATATATATATATATATATATATATATATATATATATATATATATATATATATATGAGCTACCCTAATTTTATATATATATATATATGTACAAAGTTTGACGTGGAATAGAGAACTACAATCACGAAATGCTTTATACTGTGGTACAAACGTATCCGTATTGCTTGGCCAAAGAAATGTATGAGAGTAATATAACACAACATAAAGGCTCATTATATTCTAAGGTTTTAGGGGGAACATTATCTACTATTTCCCTATATTTAAGAAAAATATTTAAATGATAAACTTCTTTTTACCAATTTAGTTATGCTATTCTTCTTCTTACCCTCATTATAGTTTGTATTGTTAGTGTTGTGGTAAGTTCACGTTTTCAAAAGACTTTCTCAAGTTAGTTGCAGTCTGCACACCGAGCATGCAAGTACATGTACTTACATAACCAGCCACCATTGTCGTAAGTTCTATATTAAGAATGTCAAAAAAGTACAACGTGTCCATGAGACGTGAATAGAAATGTACGGCCAACACGTCGTTTAATCTGGTGAATACATAGCGGCCACGCTGTACGACTGTCAGGGGAAGAGCGAGCTCTATAGGAGTTCGCTCTTCCCTAAGTTCTAAGTTTGATCGTACGACCGTACGCCGCGGTTAGTTTAGCGGGCGGCAATCGATTCGCTGGTGATGATTGAATTCATGAGAAAATTACGAATTGTTGATCAGGGCGTAGGCGGGATTGCTAGCGCTGAACAGAGCTCTGAGAACTTCAAGTTTGGTTTAACGCGGGAATACAGCTACAACTTTTTTGTTGTAATGTCGACAAGGGCAACACCGGAAGGCTCCCTCCGTGAAATAGCACGAAACTGGAAAGGCGTCGAATGGATGAGAATTGGAATAGGATTTTGGATTTGTTGAGTCTACGGCAAACCCTCTGTCGGTGAGTTTGATGAAAACAACAATGCGTTCTGGAGGAGTAATTGAACTGCATGATTTCCGTAGCTTATCGAGCCGATCGTCTGATTGCTCGGCGATGAACGCCCCTCAGTATCTAGTTTATTACTTGTACCAAAAGGCAGTCATTAAAAAAGGTATGGCAGAAGTACGAGGCATCGCCCATGTGCTCGCACCTGCGTCGGTGTTTTGCTAATAATCCGATAGTCATCTCTGTTCGTGATGTTTTGCGCATATCCCAGGTTTTGATAGCTGGTCAAACAAGAAAGTGTTTTTTTTGTTTCGACACAAACAGTTGGCTGGCAGAACTCACCCCTGAGACTAACCACACTTTGTATTGAGCGCGCTGTGGCATCTTTTGTGTATAGCTTTTATATTGGGTCATGTGTTCTGAATCCCCTGCATTAATTAGACTGCATGCACCTATGAGGTTCGAACGATCACAGATTACATCGCTTAGAGCGAAACAAAAGCATTTAGATTAACGTCTACATGTTCGCGTTATGAATGTAGGAGTATTTCTAGCTGCAAAAAAAATTCACACTTGGTAAGTCCGAGCCCCGAGTACTTAAAAGCAAAAGGTGCTTTGAACCCGATTTGAGTGACAACGGTACGCTGAAACATAAGACCATTACATAAAGGCCTGCCGGATACACTAGAGCTTACAAGGCGGCTTTTGCGGTTCTATTGCACACGTGCTTCGACTGGTAGCATAGGTACGTAACATAAGGTAGAGATTTTTTGCCATTGGCATTATCCACCAGATGTCAGCATATGTAGACAATACGGACACGAGCACTAACCCTCACAGCAACCAAGTTGACGATGAAAACAAACGGTAATCGTCTAATGGTTCCAAGTGACTGAAAAAATTCGAGTTCAACTGTGGCCTGTTCAGACCGCACGTCTCTGAGAATTTTTCTTAAGTCTCTTTCTATAGCATTCAACACCGGGTCAAGATAAGATGTGTAGGCCTTGGCAAGGATATATTGTACATGTAGGGCATCCGTTCGCTTGTCCTAGAAAACGATAAATACCTCGAATTAATTGTGCTATATCAATCCGTGCACTTATTATACAATCAATACGGTGCAATAAGCACCGTAACGATTGTATAATAAGAGCTAAAAATGTGTTCTGAGTTGACTACGATAGACCTAGTCCTAGGCTAATATTATGAGGTCGGAGACAACTCAATGCAAACCGCCTCCGCAGCATACTTGGCTGAAATTGGCACTCGCACCTAAATTACTCAGCGGTAGTAGAACTTGATAAGTTCAGGGACCCTACTGAACTCGGCACGCTGGCATCTTTAGTGCTTCCATGTTTACAAATGCTTGCTCATTCACACAATACACTCCCCGTATATTATATAAAATAAGATAGTCGAGTAGAACCGATCATTAGTAGGTTAGCAAATTTCGATCTGGGCCATTTTATGGTGATTTCCATGCGCTACATAACCTAATGGTTTGCTGTTTCCATTTTACCTCTTTAGCAGATTCATCGTGGCGGTTTCTTTATTGTCGTCAACACGTGAGGCACCGTGTCAGATCCATAAACAGAGAGAGCTTGTTCGACTTTGGGCAACCCCACGTAGACGGCCCTACCTGGGCGGCCGTTCGCGACGATGCTAGGCACCAATTCAGAGCACCGTTATGATCTACCTCTGGAAGGCGCTACCCGCTGATAAATAACTGAGTGAACTACTCCACTTCCCAGAAAAGCATTAGCGACGTTGCCCGTCTTGGCAGCACGATCTATTGGAACAAAACGATACCGGCTTCGCTCGGATATCTTCCGTAAAATAGGGAAGAAACGAATCATTCTAACCTTATAACGTGACAAGCTGCCAAAAGTGACTACCGCTATGAGTGCTTAGTAGAGCACAGAACCGAATAGATTGTAACAACCGCTTTTGGCTAGGATTGTCACCATTTTATTAAGAGCACTTCTAATCAAATTTCATATCGGTAAGGCGTCAATCGGCAATATCTGCTGGAGCAGCGGCTTCGTTCCTGTTACGGAAACTCCCGAATTGTTTTTTGCTGCGTCGTGTACCTGCCCGTTATGCACTACTAGCCTGCATAGATCATCTATTTGCATGTAAATATAGTCGACAACATTGCAAGGATACGATATAAATGGATTGGGGAAAAAGCACATATTAAGCTAATACTAATCCGTGTTTTTGTGCTTAACATTGGCCTAAGCTACCAAACAGTTATGAGGTGCACCCACAATAATCGCTTTTTTACACCTTAGTTTAGGACACGGAGGCCTAACAAGATGAGTCTCACCCTACGTATGTGAGCGTGATATTTTTTCGATCCCATAAAGAAGGTCAGCATTCAGCCTGAAGCCAATTCGTTAACTAAATCCACAATTTTTTGCAGGCAGTAGCGCCTAGTGGACCTAGTAGCTCAATACAGTACAATACTTGAGCATCGGTAACAGGACCTACGTGTGCTCCTTCTAAGGGCTTTCTAAGCTGTCGAATTGATCTCCTGTTTTGGGTTTTATCTGCAGCTCACTACTCTCGATAAAGTGTTGTCAACTACGAATCCTTGGTTTCTGGAAGCGCTTGTTGGATGGGCATCGTCAACCATCTATGAGTAGTACTCATAATATGTTAGTGCTGCTATGCGTTTTTGACACTGAAATGAAAGCCGATCCTAACGGCAACGCGACTTGCGTATCCTGCGATCAGAGCAGTCTTTGCTTGAGATAATTGACTAGGGTAGTTAAGCGATGTAAGAAAGCGCGAAGGCCGCACCTGTGAAGCCGGCCAGCGTTGATGAGCATGGCGACTAAACTTGGGCGGGACATTTGAGCGAATAGGCTCCTTGACCTCTTGACCCCGTAAACCTCTTCAAGCAATAACGTCATTGAAGAAGATCATCAACAGGCTAATCATTAGCGGTGTTGACCATCTACTGGTCATCGTTCGTGCGCCGCATAGCTTTGTGTTATAGTAAGTCTTTTGTTGTGGCCCGAACAGCCAGCGACACAGCTGTTGACTTCGACTGGCACATTATTAAACGTCAGTGCATGAAAATGGGTTGAATTAAGAATCCTGGGCGCCTGTAAGCTGCTATGAACATGCTTGCAAATTATTGAATTTAAACGAATATGGAAAATTGTGGGCAAGCTGAATCATTCTCTTCTTTAGGTTGAATAAATGCGAACGACTTCTTGTTATCGCACTGGACCAGGTGAAAGAAAAAAAAAAAAAAAAAAAAAGGGTTTGTAGTACAGGTTCCGTCTTCTGCGATGACAAATTTAGCCGTTTGTGTAACAAACTAACGTCCCAATTAGATAGGTAAAAAGATATTTGTAGGCGGATCTCCGAGACGAATGGTTGCAAAAGAATTAACTCTGTCACGTCAGTACGCGATGACCGGGGGGTATTTCTATAACACGATAACAAGCATAATTGTTGATCGATATGCAAACACGATTGAAAACGCTTGTGTTGCTCATAGGGCATTTGGAAAATTATTCCACAACCAAGTGTATTGTAGTCCATTCAAATCGATCGTATGGATTGAATAGACCTTACTTTAATCGGACCAATGTTATAGATGATGAACTTCTATCCTGCAGATTACCTGCCGCCCAGGGGTCATTCGACCGATGAGTATGATAAAGATCCTTTACTACTATCACTACTGGCTGTAAGCTCATCAATTTGTGAAATCTTCCGAAAGTCGACCTCCTTCAACAGCTAAACATCCATCAATTTGTATCTACGATGCTCATATTTGAGGAATTGAGCTAGAAACGAATCGATCTTGGGACGATTTTTGTGTAAAATGCCAGCGGTTTCGGACCCGATTGCCCTACCTGCTTTCTAGTGGGTGTTTCATGAACGAATGATGCATATGCGACACCGGCGATTAACGATGCCTCGCAGTTTGACTCAATCCTGCTTCGTTCTCACGTCAGCAAGAGTCGGACGTACGTTGGCGCGGCATTGCTTCGATACGGTTATTCTGCCTTACGTATCTAAACAGAACCTGAATGCATGGATTAGTATTATAGATCGACGAACGAAAATTATTTAGATGGTCGTTTAATTTCATCAGGATAGGTTAGCGCAAAATTAATCAATGTACAAATCAAACAACAAATTGTGGCCTATTCACAAGTCGTCGGTTATTCAAAAGGGGAATCTAAGTATTATAAGAAAAAATAAGCCCACGTACGACTTGCATATAGTTCAGTTTTCAGTGCCAAAGAACATTTTAATAAAAGTGAGTGGTAAATGAGCCGGCAGGCTAAGTTAGCAATGACGTGGTATCGGATTCATGAAAAGATGGGTGCTTAAAAAGGAAAGTTAAGAAGTTCTGAACTATTGTGAATCGTTAGTCTAGCCATATTGGCAGGTCGATACCAACAGCTAATAACGTCGCTCTTCTGAAGATAACCCCGGCAAGGTAATTCGTGAAAGTTCCAAAAGAAGATCAAATATTGGCAGATTAGCAAAAACAAGGAGCCTGTTTCTGTCTTGACTAGAGGTCCCGACCAAGTCAGCATGACAAATCTACATTCTACATCTTCACCTCCAACGGTTGTGTACCATCGCGCGGTTGTTGAGTGGCCCTTCCATAGATTCTTCCCGCGAAGATTGTTTTACTCTGATGCCTTGCGTATGATCGCGCCATCGATTAAGCTCACTAAAAGCGTTTCAGCTGTTGATGATATATGCGATAGGGCAGGAAATACATAATTGCGACTTCGTAATAGGAAAACAACTATGGTAAAGATAAGAACAGACGGGAATACACCATTGAGTAATTTAGTCGTGCGTTCTTACGCGTAGTATAAATCAGCCCATACAAATAGCAGTAGAATGAAACTGTGTAAGATTCTGATGCGTGCTTCAATCGTGCATGATAACAACAACGCGTCAATAGACAGATTGAACATTGCTATAGAGGGAGAGATGTACTAATAGATGTGCCTGTTACATAAGCATCCCCTTTTGTTAGCTAAACGTTTCATCTATGTAATCGGCCTGTATGGCTATGGCGCTAAGATGGTCGAAATGAGAAAAACCCAGCTATTTGAACAGTTGGAACGTACTATCAATTGCTGCACATTGTGGATAGGGAGCGCACTGATTACGGAGCTTTATCTTCCCTTTGGGGGTAGATAACAATAAATTGACTGGGGCTGTGTGAGGTAGTGCATTTTTAGCTGGATACATTATTATAATAATAATAATGCATTATTTGGCGCGAACGCCATTAAACATCGATTATTTTTTTTTAATTAAGTTGTTGGATCAGCCCAAGAAACTTTTTTCTTTTCTTTTTTTTTTGTAATTTATTATTTATCTACCGAAATTGTCTGGCGTTTATGCTTAGTTGACGGGATCTAGGTCTACCATATAGCCTTTGCTGGACCATTTGATGGAGGAGCTTTTGGAAAACGCATAGCAGTGATTTCTGGCCTTGTAGAGGGATACTGTTGCGTCAGGGGATCCGAGATTATCCCAGATGATTGCATCTTTCCATAGACCCTATTCAACGTTAGCTGTAACGTTCCAGTAATTCCAGCTATGGTGTAGGCACCTATGGTGGTCCTCGTAAGAGTTTCGCGTAGAGCTAAAAACTCTTTGCCGTTGCGTGAGGCTAGCTAGACACACCTTACCTAAAGGACTGAGAAAAGGTAATAATTGCTCGCCTAAAGTGAGAAACGGCTAGAAAAAACGCCATCATGCCTATTATCATTATCTACTTCACGTAAAAGCCATTCGATAAATCAATATTAGAATTCATAAATGAAATAATATTTATTTCACCTTGCGTACGACCAATGGCGATACGTCATATGAATAATTCTGTTAGAGCCATTTATAACTTGGCTCTGTATTATGACTTGTGTGTCTTAGTAGCAGTTGCCAGATCAACCTTTTCTTTTAAGCAAAGATCTACATTAGAGAAGTTGCTGATTTGCAAACAAATGACGAAAACCGATAAAGGGTCCCGCTCCTACCTTGAAAGTTTCCAGGTGTTTTTTTTTTGTCTACTCGATTGGCAACTGTCATAGGTCGTTGACCCCCTTCGGTCAATGTTTCGATGGATAAACCGATGCAAATTTGCTGTAGGCACGTTCCAGCTGCTGCTAGCTATCCCTAATTTACAATGTGTACATATTATATACGCGTCTATGCGACGATAGCGGGCTTCATGTGATTAGTGGCAAGCTTTAAGTCTACACATGCTACGTGTTTGTGTAGTTACTGCTATGATATTGATTATGAAGTCGTTGCCCTCGTTTCTTTCGCCTGTTCAGGCCGCTTCAGCGTTACTGCACCCCTACCCCATGCAACCAACTTTCGCACGTAATCTTTCCATGAACAGAGAACGGACTGAGTGGAAGGAAGGCGGCGTATTTACGCATGACATTTTTCCTTCTTACGGCAACCTGAACTGGGCTGGATTTTTTCCGCGTGACTGACCCGTACCAAACAACTACTGTTACTGCTGTTTTTCTTGCTGGACGTTAAAATTTGCCGGCCGGCACCGTTTGTCACCACCAGCGCCGCCACCACTACCACCATCACTTGTGCTATCAGATGAAAAGCTAATGACGATGCAGCCAGATGCTCTAATTGGATCTTGTTTCAATCGTATCGTAGAATAGTACAAATATAACAAATAGAATGTTGTTTACCATCCGTCAACTTGGCTATGGATAACGCTGTAGCAATGGTACCTTGTACGGTACTCTGCATTGACGTGTATCAACTTTTACCTGTGTTCATCTGCGTGTTTGCTTTGTCACGCACAACTAATGCCATCTGACACCTCGTCAACTCGATGAGGCAATACTGGCCACGAGGCAAGGGTCGGCCTTGTTGTCCAACTTCTCTTCCGGGCCTTAGTCGGAAATCTTTTGCCATTTCTTGTCCCCCGCTTTTCGGCTCTAAACTAGCAGCTTTCATTTTTCTTGATACGGTAGCATCCAGCAATTCTCTCTTTTTCTCATTACACGTATCTCGCTATACCACGCCTGACGCCGGCAGGCAGGCAGGCAGGCTCCCCCGCTCATCTTTACTTTGTCGATCGCCAATGTATCACAACAACTGCGCGATGCCTTGCCCGTAGAGTAGTTGTAATCTTGGTTATATTAGGTCGAAGCAAACAAACCATACTGTGCCATAGATCCTATGCAACAGGGACGGTCGCAATCGTTTTTTGTAACGTTGAGCGACGATAAAACGGTAAGATGAAGGAAAATGATAAGGTATGCAGAGCGATGGCTCGTACTCGGCTATAAATACGTGGACGGCCGAACATACTCATAGGATAAGTGGGCAACTGGCCCTTTGTTTCCACTTGTGTTCAGCAAAAGCGGTTGCCAACTTCTTCTAGACGTGAGCGAGCGAAGTTCAGATTGAAGGATTTTAACAATGGTCGTATCGATGTTAGAGATATATGTATCAGCTGAATTACGAGTAGTTTCATTATGATACGGTTTACCTCTAGCACTGACACCGCGTGGAAAATATCCTCGGCTAAACAAGATAGAGACTTATACACAATATATTTAGTTCCAATTAGCAAATATTTTACCGATAATACAAAAAATGCCAAGTTAAGAGAACTAAACACGGTGTCTTATTAGGGTATGGGAAGAAGCCTATGGGAAGCTCCAGTGTAAACTATTATAACAACAAGGTCTTTTTTTCCTCTAGTACAATCTTTGTTCGATCAAAAAATGCATCATCAACGCAAAATAAGAAAAAGCTATTTCTGTATCAGACTTATTTTAAACTTCGCGGTGAATACACAGTATCAGTTCCTCATGTGTCTTGAGCAAAACAGTGATCCTATGAAAAATCGTTTGCAACGTTGAGACAATCTTATAAAATTAGTTTTGCAGTGGATTCCAGCCTGCTTCTTGATTGATCTCTACTGGAACTAGTTCAAAATCGGCATATTGCGATAAAATCCGGACTTCTACGGCTATATCTGATTGGTCTGGTAAAACCTGCCATTTTCGAATATATGTGTATATATATTTTATACAGAAGTGTGTATATGTTTATTGCTTGGGTTTAAATAGCGATATGCACACCGTTACACTCCGCCGTGCTATTCACGTACGTTTCCGAACATACGACCCAAAGTCACCCGCTTCTTGGGCTAAGTAACGCGCATTTGGCGTTCTAGGCTTTGAAGTTTGCAACTTTCCCACCAAGATCGCATCCCCCTGACTTATCTACATATACGCAGGCGCCGATATTCCATTCGTTTTCACAGAGTGGCACGACATGATCACAGCTCCAGCTTGGGCTTGTGCGATTGGCAGTGGCGCTGTGTTTGTTTTAATTCAACAAAGGAGCTTGTTAACGAGTACGTACCCAGGAACACCTGCTATATCACGTCCAAGACTTTGTTCCAAGGAAGCTTTTGTTGCGTTCTTCGGACATTCGCCGCTCTGAGGCTCCCAACTGTAAGATCTCCACTGCACCATCTGAAGCTTAGCATTTGCAAAGAATTGTTTGTCACGTGTCACGACAATGCGTCGAAAACTCCCGCTGCTCACGTTTGAATGCCTCCTTTTAAAACGACTTT